CTTTAAGCTCCACAGGGGCGGGAATCCCAGCTGTTTTCATTTTCCATCGTATCCCCAGCAGCCAGCACACTGCTAGTATAGTCAGTGCTCAAGGAAACATCTTGAAAAAAGTAATGACATGAAAGTAGCATGAGGGATCCTTGTGATGGGACTGTTCTGTATCTTGACTGTGCTGACCACACAAATCTACACGTGATAAAATTGCAGACCTACATACGCAAATGAGTACATGTAAGACTGGTGACATCTGGATAAGATTGGTGGATGTATCAATGTCAATTTCTTGGTTGTGATATTGTACTATAGTTCTGCAAGATGTACCATTGGGGGAAATGAAGTACAGGCTTTATGGCATCACAGTATTATTTCTTATAATTGCATGTGAATCTGTAATGATCTCCAAATAAAAAGTAATAAAAATATGAGAGTAAAAACAATCTCAGATTGGTGACATCAATCCAAAATGTAGTAGGATGTGAGTCAAGATGGACTTTGGCTTTGAAAAGCTATACCCTGTTTAAAAGAGAGAGGCCACTGAGGGAAGAGGCCTACTAATCAAAAAGACAGACACTTGCATGGAAATTTTGGGGTGGCAGCTCACCAGAGGAGATGAAAAGAGAGCTGGAGAGCTGTGACATTATTGCAACAGTCACTACTGTCTACTTGGTCAGGTGGGGGACATGAATGATGGGTCTCAAAATACAAATCACAGAATTGCCACCAACACAACGTAGAGGGAGTGAAGCGTTGCTCCAGTGACCTGAACATCTGTTGGACATCATATTTGGCAGAGTCTCTGTCAAGATTCTGACTTGCCTTATTATTTTAATTCCCAAAGACTAGTCTAGAAGTCAAAGGTAAACTGCTATTGTCTTATATTTCCAAGATGGCTGCAACAAGATTTCCTATCCCATGCACTCATCTTACAATGAGATCTTGACATATCTCCCACGGAGAAGTGAGGTCTACGTTCCCTCCCCTTGAATCTCAACGGACCTGTGACTGTGGCAGGAGACACTATGTGACTGCTAAGCCTAGATCATAAAAGTCAATACAACTTCCCCTTGGCCCTTTTGGAAGGCATCTGCTTAGAACGCAGCCACCATGCTGTGAGGAAGCCCAAGCATCCATGTGGAGAGGTCAGGTGTTGGTATTTCAGGTTGCAGCTCCTCATGAGGTCACAGTCAATAGCCAGCATCAACTACCAGACATATGAATGAGAAACAGAGGATTCCATGCCCCAGCCTTTGTGCCACCCCACCTCACACTGCACAGAGTGGAGCTATTGGGGGATCAATTTCAGCACAACTTGTAGCTGCATGAGTGTATTAGGGCAATCATGTTTGACCAAATACCCGGGCACGTTGTGGCCCAGTCAGGTTGATGCATAAAATTAACCATCACAATGAGCAAAATAAATGGTTATTTTAAGCACTAAGTTTTGGAGCAACAGACAACTGGAACAACCTAATACTAATCAACAATTGGAAGTTGGTTGGTAAAGTGAAAAAAATGATTTTTGAAGAAAGTGGCCATACAGTTAGTTTGTGAAATGCAAAACCAAAATGGCTAGGCTTTAGGAAGGTGTATTTCCAGAAGTTAAACAGCTGAAGAGGATAGGGAGGGTCTCAAAAATGCAATTAGGGCGGTGATTCCAAGGAAGGAAATGATGGGGACATGGAATAAAACCAGGAAGTCCACCATTAAACAAAGACATTTAAAAGATGTATGCAAAAGATGAAAATATGATTTACCCCATTTTTGTAAGATTTTGATTTTGTAAGAATTGTGTCAGGAAACATGAGCAGAGGCCCGCTTTCTCCTCTCCGTTCCCTCCCTTTCTTTCTTTTTGTTGTTACAAACCCCCAGACTTCTTATCATTTCACCTCTACAGACTTAGTATTTATTTCTAAAAAATATTCACATATTCTCACATAATCATAACCTTTATTATAAGAAATTTGACAAAAATTTGCTTTTTACCAATGGCCTCAAAAATGTCATTTTGCAGCATTTTATTTCAACTTAGAAACCAAAAAAGGTAAATTTTGCTTAGGTTCATGTCAAATTGTTCATTTTTTGCAAAGATACTTATTTTTTTTAAAAAAGATTGGCACCTGAGCTAACAACTGTTGCCAATTTTCTGTTTTTTTTTCTTTCTGCTTTTTTCTCCTCAAATCCCCCCAGTACATAGTTGTATATTTTAGTTGTGGGTCCTTCTAGTTGTGGCATGTGGGACACTACCTCAATGTGGCTTGATGAGCAGCACCATGTCCCTGCCCAGGATCTGAACCAGCAAAACCCTGGGCCACCACAGCGGAGTGCATGAACTTGACCACTCAGCCACAGGGCCGGCCCCATTACCTGAATTTTTTATATGAAAGAACTGAAGCTCAAGAAGGTCAAAATTCTTGTAATTCAGCTACGCTGCAACTGGGGTTTGGCCAACTGTACAAATGTACAGACGTGTCTACATCTGTCCAAATCTGGACCTCGTAACCTACAGGGGCTTTATTTCCTATTTTGTACCTGATTTTGGGTCCTGTTCCTTCCTTTCTTCTCAAGGCCCGTATGCCTTCTCTGGTTTATAGTCAGCCTCTCCCTCTCAATGGCTTCTACCCTTCTCTGCTTAACTGTATGAAGAACCTTGACAGCTCTCATTCCCTCACCAATCTACCTCCTATCCATCACCAATTGGACCCCCCGAACATTTCTCAGTTCACTCCACTTTTCTCCAACTTCACTGCCATGTGGCTACGCTAAGCCGCCTTTTTATCTCCACCCTGGACACAAAGAATGGTCTCTCTGCTGATCTGCTCATGTCTTCTCTGCCTCCCTCCAATTCCTTTCCTACCAACAGCCAAAGTAATCTTTTCAAAATATAAATCTGATAATGCCACTCATCAATCCTTCCATGGTTTAAGATAAAGACCATGTGGTCCACAAACCCTGGCATATTCTGCCTCTAGTCACCTTTACCAGACCCACCAAGTGCTCTCCCTGACTTGGACTTTGCTCACCAAGTACTTTAGCTTTCTCACCACAGGGCCTTTGCATATGCTGTTTCTTCTCTGTGTGCAGTTCAGGTTTCCATAACCTTGCCACTGCTGACATTTTGGACCAGATAATTTTTTGTGAGGGGGGCTTCCTGTGCATTGTTGGATGTACATTAGCATCCTCTCACCCCCATGAATTGTGACAACGAAAAATGTTTCTAGGCATTGCCAACTGTCCCCTGGGGGACAAAATCTCCCTTGGTTGAGTACTGCTGACCTAGAGTGATCTTCTTCCTCTCTGCCTATCAAATCTCAGTTCAGAAATCATGTTCTCAGAGATCCCTCTTCTAACTCAGGTTAGATCCAGTCTTCCTCTCCTGTTATTAATTATATGACCATTTGACAATTACTGTCTCTCACTGCTGCATGACGGCAAGGGGCCACGTCCACTTTCACTCACCACCATATTCCCAGTGCCTAGGACAGTCTCTGGCACATGGCAGGCACTTAATATTTGTAGAGTGAATAGCAGAATGAATGTATTTAAGGCCAAATCTGTCTGCTGTAAAATCTACACTCTCTTCCAAAAATCCAACCTATCATTTATTGAGGGCCTCCTGGGCCTACCTCATTACCCTCAGGGAGATCTTATCCCCATTTTATAGATGAGAAACTGGGGCTTAAGCAATGCTAAATGACTTGCCTATGATGTCACAGTGTAAGAGCCACGACCCAAGTCTAGGTTTTCTCACCCTAAAGTCCAAGCTGATGGATGTGAACATGGCCATAGACATCCAGTGCTTTGCTGTGGGGCTTTGTCTTCAACTCTGCATGATATTTTAAGTCAGTCATTTGAAATAAAACGTAAAGACCACCGCGCTTAAGAAATGTGACAGAATCAGAACCCTGAAGAACCCTGTCAAGGCACGGTAGGCTATGTCTACAGGAGGAAATTTTGAAGAAATAAATGTAAGACTCCATCTAAACATGGAAGAAATGTAGTAGTAATACATGTTGACCAAATAGAAACAACCCCAAACTGCCTTCTGAGGTTTCGTGATGCTCCCCACCAGGGAGGTGAAGGACGGTGGCGAGGACTCTCAGATTTCTCAAACTGGGAACTCCCCACCATGTTTGTTTTGACACCCCCCTCCCTTACCCCTACTGTGATTAGCAATAAAAACATTAAAAGAAAAAGATACCAAATAAGAGGGGAACTGGGAGACAGCCTTCCACTTCAGGCTCGTTAGAAAGGAAACCCAAGAAATAAAGAGGGTGGCCACCTTAAGATGGAAAAACAAGGAAGGAAAGAGAGCCAGCATGGTGCACTTCCCAAATCTGCAGACATAAAAGACTTCCTGGAACATCAGTCAAATAAACGGGTGTCTTCCTGGAGAGGAGACAGCGGCGATGGAAATCCTGAGAGATGGAGAGGTGAGAGCTAAAGGGATTCGTTCTGTAGGCAGGAGCCCCAGACATACACGTCTTGATTCGACACTAAATTTTCAGTATTAGTAGAAAGAAAATGAATCCTGAAGGAGCTTTTACAAGAAATATTTCTTCTTTACTCTCAAAAGGCAAGTACTGTTTCAAAGAAAGGAATTTGTTTTAAAAATGAATCAACAAGCATATAGTACATCTATTATCTGCCAAGCTAAGCACTATAGGAACATAAATTAAGAATAAGACAGCTCCCACCCCTACGAGATCTATAAATTGTTACAGTTAATTCGGGACCATTTAAGAAATGTCTGAAACACAGCACTGTGTTTTCTGATGTATATCAAGCACCAGCACTTTCTTTTCGGATGTACCTCAACCATCATAAATTACAATTACTGATTTACAAGTCTATGCAGATCTGGCCCCCAAAAACTGACTGTAGAAAATAAAATTCATCTCAGTGCGGGAGCTATTCACCCGATTCTCTGAACCTGGACAACTCCACAGTGCGATTCTAGTAAACGGTCCCTAAAACCAAATAGAAGCCACATACTAGATGAATTGGTCACTTTGACTTCATTGTAAGGGAAAGGAGGACACAAAGTTCACTAACTTGAAAGTCATCTCATAACAAGGCAGCATGACATTTTTTATATCAGTTTGTGTAATAATTTTACTGCATAAGAAATTACAGAGATTGCATAAATCATTAGGTCAACAGCATACACAGAGGGATAAAGTAAAATAAATAAACATGATTATTCTGATTAAATAAATCAGGAAAAATAATCCAATTCTTAAAAATACCACAAACTCCCTAAGTGTGGCTCCTTTTGAGAGACAATTTACTTTTTGCATTTTCCGGATATAGTAATGACTAGTTCCATTAAGCCAAGTGGAAAATTGCTTTACAGTTAAAAACATAAAAAAGCAACTTACACAGATGTGTAGCCCTCTTAATACCGGATGTAACAGAAACAAAGACATCAGGCTGCCTGCTTTTGCTGGAATTTTCTATTCACAGGGACAGTTTACAGAGACTACCACATGATTTCCTATGTTACGAAACTGCACACATTAGAGAAGCCAAAAAACACTGCAGGAGTGAATTTCTTCCTATGAGGGGGAAAGTACATAAATATACTAGATGTTAAAATTTCCATTCTTCGTTCAATTACTTGCCCTGTTCAAAACATAAAAATACAAATAAATATATTTATTTACAAATGAAGTTCATAGAATATTGTTTAAAAAAAGATTAAAAAACCAAAGCTCTTAATTTACTTTCTTGTCATTAAATAAAAATTCTAATATACAGACACAGTCGATATTTATATAAATTGTAGGAGTCAGTTTGTCATTTCTTGTTCACAATCGAGGTTTAATAATACTAGTCTTTAGACAACACAGCTCACATCCCAAATGCAGGTTTAATTCTACTGAAGTTGCTCAAGATAATTTTTTTCTCTTTTTATTTTTAATTAAAAAAGACTTCATACTTGGAATTTTACAATTTACATTTGAGTTGTCTGAAAAAATACAATTTCAATGCAAAAACCACATCAAGCATTCAAGATTATATTGCTGGTGCTGTAATCTTTTTGCATGTCTTTGTTTTCCTAGAAAAAAAAACCCAATAAAATAAACAAGTAAGACTTTTAAATGGTTAAACATAACCACATAACATTAAAGATATGCCTCATGCAAACACGCACAAACTCAAAAAATGAAGGAAAAAGGATCAGACGTCTTTTTTTTGCATCTGCTCTAGCTTTCTTCTTAGGAGACCATAATTCTCCTTAGTTCCTGATGCAGTGGGGTCAAGCTGCAGAGAGATCTCATAGTGTTTTTTGGCCAAGTCTAGATGTCCCCAACGATGATAAAGCACAGCTGAAATAGCAAGAGATGAATTTCATTGGAAATGCTTCTGAATAACTTGCAGTATTCCCAACCACTTGTACAAAGAAATATTACAGAAGTGCTGCACACAGTTTTCAAAAATCGTTGTTTAAAATAATATTGTTTGTACCACAGACTTTATTTATTGTAATCACACCCCCTGGAGATTGTCCGTTTAACCACCGCCAGTTACTCCTGGGGTTCTGCATATCACCAGGCACGATTGGTTTCCTGACAGCAACGTTATTACATAAAGAAGTAAAAGAAGGGGTTTGGGAAGTTTCTCAATGCTGCCATGACATTTCCAGAAGCCAGGCTGGAGAGGGCTGGGCTCCAGCCCTGCCTAGGGACCTGATGATGGAGAAGTCCAGCTGTTTACTTTAAATAAAGATTTCCCTACACCTTTTGGCAAGATAATGGTTGCCAGCTGGAAACAGGGGTTCTAACATCAAGGTCTGATCATAAAATGTTAGTTAAAGTAAATCTAATTATTAGAATGGTAAGCCTCTGATTATTATGATTTGTAAGTAAAACGAACTTTCGACATGGGCAGAGGAATAACCATTGATGCTTCATGACTTTCACGATGAGAAGCTCCCGACTCCACAGGGAACAGACGCGGTGAAAAAATTTTCATTTGACTGAGCATTCTAAACATCTACCTACTGTGCTCAAAAAATCTTAATTATTGAGACTTAAAAATGGAAGACAGGAATTCTAGGGAATAAATCATTGTAAATACATTTTTAGCCAAGGCCTAAGAGAACATAAGAACATGGAGGAGACCAGACTGGAATGGAGTCCAATATGGAAAAAGGAAAAAGACAAAATTCAGACTTTCAACTTCCAAAGTACTTCCCAGTTTAGCATTCGAGAATTCTTCACACAAAGAAAATACGAGTTTCATCATTAAGAAGGCGATAAAGTGAGTGGGGGATTTTGGGGGTTATTTTGGTCATACTACTAAGATTTGGAATTATGACTATTTTAGCTACCTTCTAAATCTAATCATTTCTTTAAAAAAAAAACCCCACATTATAAAGGACAATACAGGCTAGATTTAAAAAAAAACCCCTGACTTTCCCAATGTTGATTTTACAGAAATATACCCATTTCATTAAGATTACATGGAATTTCGATATGGTTGAAAGTGAAAATTCCCCTTACCCAAATTGCCATGGTAACTTGCAGCATTTGGATGAGCTTTAATTGCTTTGAGGAATAAAGCTTCAGATTCCTAAAAGAAAAAATACACAAAAAATAAGGTATTGCACATGATGAAAAAGTAACACACAGTTTTATTGCCTATGGTTTCCAAACTTCTAATGTGCTCGTTTTGGTCCACGGTATCCTTCTCCCAGGAACACTTGGAACGCCCAGCAGGGCCACACCCTGTTGAGAAGAGACTTGGAAGGGCAGTCAGGGAAACATGTGACAGGGCAAAGGTGACAGGGCAGGAGTGAGGGGTGAGGGTCAGTGGAAAGCAATGGCAGCTGCTGAGAGAGGACGAATATGCTGATGAGCTCTGCCTCCTGCCTCCCTGAAGTGGCCGGAATTCCGCAACTTCAAGCAAATGGTTCAACTTCAAGCAAATGGTTCGGTTTAGGGTGCAGGGGAGGGAGAGGGAAGGCCAAAGGAGCAGGAAAGGGCTGGGCTGTTGAGGACACCCATGAAAGCGTCACTATCGGTTACACCAATAACTCATTTCCAGGATTCTCAAGGTGGGAGCTGGGGCCTATTTAATCTCCCCCAAGAACCCACAACCACCTCAGCAAACCATTTAGCTGGAAAAAATGACCAGAGACTGAGGGACAGACCTGTCACCTGAGCTGTTGCAGGACAGCACATGAGCCCGACCAAACACCCCTGATGTGTGTGAACTGACCGTTGTATAGGCCTCTGTTTCCTCCAAATGGTACTCACTGCCAATCAGGTCACGAAGAAGCACGGCCAAGTGTTCCCTCACCTGATCGTTAGTGGACCGCGGCTGACTGGATGGTCCCTTTCTACCATAATGCTCAGAAATAAAGACGCCTAACCTGCCAGGGGCAGCTCTTCACACCGCCTGCATTTGTGCTCCTAGAGGGCCACACCTGCTTTAATCTGCATCAGACCACCAAACTTAAGCAACCAAAGCTGGCGGCTGGGGGACAGGTTTGCTCCTTCCATCTGCGCCCTACGTGAGTGTTTCCAGGTGGGCTTCCCACGTCCAGGATCATGTGTTTTATAAGGTGAAGGGAGGCCGGCTTCCTTGTCTTGTAATGGGCTATGCACTCCTGAGAAACAGGCTGGGCATTTGGGTGAACATCTCTGAAACCACAACCTTCAGACAGAGCTGGCAGAGAAAACTCTAGTGTTTTAGAAATGTCATCCATGAGGGATGGAAAAAAGACATCAGGATAATATACATCAGGATGTCAGCAAACATCACTTTCAGAACTCGGTTCAAAGTCAGGGTCTGCTCCAAGTTTCAGTAGCTGAAACTCCCACAAGGAAGTCTAAGACTTTCCTGTCATGTTAGATACACTGCAAAAAAAAAAAAAAAAAAAAATCAAATAGATTGTGTAGATTTGTAGTGGTTTCTAAGAAGTCATGTTGTTTCTGATGATTTTCAAACATTTCCAGTTAAAAATCTAAAATTTGAGAAATAAGAAGGCCAGGGAATTGAAATGTGCTTTAAGATGTGTTAACTAGAGGCTACTGATTAAGAGAAGAAAACCAAGTTAGGAGTTCTCGAGGGGATGCGAGATTCATTCTTGATTCATTTAACTAAATTCTCAAATGCCCACAAGTGTGGATATGATTGGGGACGATGTGCTGTCGGAGTCAGGTTTGGAGGATGTGGTGGCATTCAGGACAGCGTGCGCAGGCCTTACACTCAGTCAGGGGGCTGCTGCTCTTGGCAAGGCAGGGCCTGCACCCTGAATGGGTGATGAGGAGGCTGGGTGGGAAGGAATGGGAGGATAAGGGAGGGAATTGGGGCAGAAAAAATGAGGCAAATTTCCTGGGCCTGGAAGATATAAAAACGATGGCATGTTGACAAAAGGAGGAGGAAGAACAGGTTGGGGGGTGAGGTGAGTGTGGGTGGACAGGCTCCATCTTGAGTGACAGTGGGGCAGCCCTGAGAGGATGCTTCAGTGGCCCCTGGGACTGCACCGGAGTCCTGGGAGGGACGGCAAGGCTGGAGGCCTCTTTAGAACACAAATGTCTGTGGGTATTCAAAGCCCACGAAATGCTCATCTATTAAATCAGGCTTCTTAACAGCTCTGTTCTGGAAAGCAATGAACTGTTTATAGACTGATCTGTGGAGGTGTGGGGATGCTGAAAGAGCCAGGCAACGAGCTGATTTATGCCAAGGAACAAATAAATAAACTCACATTTAAAATCGGGGATATTTTTTTCATCAATAGAAAGGGAAACTAGTATATTATTTTTTGAAGTGTATTAGACAAAATGTATTTGACAAAGGTTTAGGGTAACACATGGGACAGAGAAAGTCCTTGCAGAGGGGACAGGGCACTCGAGGTCATTTCAGCCACACTGGCCGCAGGGTACCAGCATCGCCACAGCAACACCCTGAAATCCACGTCTATTCCCTTGGACAGCGTTTCACAAGGGACACCCTATAGACCGCTCCAACTAGGGAAGGTGACACAGGTGATCCGACGTGAAGCTGAAACCATGAATTGCACAGAAAGACAGGAGTTCCCACTTCAACCTGCCTTCCTTTCTTCTGGTTCAAAAAAAGTCTGGACAAAAATCTCTGTTTGGTGGTGGTTTGGGGGTCACTCCTTCTAACATCTGCCAACCTCCCTTTGAAGTTGAGACGGTGACCTCAGGCTTGGAGCCTTGTTTAACAGTATCTACCGGAGACATAATAAAACTATTCTATTCTCAGTTACCTAGTATTTATAGCAGTGATATCATGTTTCCACTTTAAATACATTTATTTGTGTTAAAAATCTATTTAAAGAAAGATATCAAGTAAATAATAAGACCAGCAGTATCTAGATACAGCTAGATGTGCCCAGTGCGCACAGTAAGCATCTTATTCCAGATTTCAGAGTCCGTTCCATTATCTTAGGCTCAGCACCCTGGCCTAGACAATTAGGATACAACATGTGGAGAGAAATGGGGAACCTCCATTCTGCTCTACCAGAGTCTTTTCTACTTTATCTGGAAAAAGAACAATGTGAACCGGAAGCCAAAGGAACCCTGGGTTCTGTCCCCTTAACAGGAATTCCAGTGTATAGGCTGTGGGATGATAGAAAAATCAATACAACGATTACAGAAGTCACATCCTGAAGATGACTCACTGTGGCTGGTCATTGGACACTCCAGACCCATCCCAGGCTGACACAGGTGACTGGAAAACTCATGAGAAGGGAAATCCACAAACCACACCTCCTCCCCTGCTACATAAGCAGAGTTGCAAAAAATACAACTAAACCCCTCAAAAAGTCATCTGTGGAGCAAAATCTAGAAATGCTAAAATATATACTGAAGCTTTTAAACTCCCTATTATTCAAAAATGAGAGAAATATCTTAATATTGTTACAGAAAACTATACTGATAATGATATCTAATGAGCAGAATAGAAGTAAGTAACATCGGAACATACAGTAATTAATGACTAACGTTTAGGCCTAGTGTGATCAAAATTAGATACAACCCCTGATTCTGAAAGAAAATCTCTCTCTCACGAAAGGACTATTGCACTGCTTCTAAAAGTGTGTTTTCTGTAACACCTCTGTTAGTCACCCAGGATGCTGGTTAAAAAAGGCATATTTCCAGACCTTACTCAACCGAGACAGTATCTCTTGCAGGTAGGAATCTGGGCATCTGTCTTTTAACATGCTCCCTCTGGCACAAAATGATGGTTTGAGATTGCCAGTATTGGGAGCGCTGAGTCCCCCTGGATACACGGGGAGTTATGCACCTTCCGATTCAGTCTACTCTGGGCTGATCCTGGGAGGGCAGTTAGAACCCAGATTTAATAGCGTGTGGTTTTTGTTGGTCAGACACTTTGAGGGCCTTGCAGATGACCCATAACTGACTCTAGATGAGGAAAAGCTTGGAACTAGCAAGAACCAGTCATGTATTCTCCAGGGGCCATTACTCTTTTAGTGTGAAGATGGCGCCCACAAATAAAACCAGAACTCCAGCCCAACCGCAGGAACAGAATCAAACCGCTCTGTGCCAGGGTTGGGGCCGGGCATCTGCTTGGATGAGCTGTCACTGCCCCTTCTCTGGGCTTCCCCTCCCCACGTTTGAGCAACAGTGGTGAATTCTGATGAGAAAGGACACGTAGTTGACCCCACAAATCCATCTTTTGGGCCAACTTCTCCAGGAGGCAAATTGACCAAGCCACAGTGGTGCACTGTTCTGGCCTAATTCCGAATTTAACTGGGCAGAAGTAACATTTATGGCTTCTGTCAGATGCTGGCATCAACTGTAAGAAATCCTGGCCTGCGGCGTACACACCTTGTATTTCTGTGACTTCCCCAGCACATTCGCCAACGAGAACATCAGAGAGTGGTCGTTAGGGATCAGCTCCAGTGCCTCTCGTCCAACTGCTTCAGCCTGGGCTAAATTACCTGGAGGAGAAAGCGGAAAACAACAACAGGTTAACACTGTACTAGTATTTGAGTCTCTCTTTCAAATTAACAGGCTTATGTGCACTATACACAACAATCACGAATAAACTACTTAAGAAAATCAATGTAGAACGTGTAACACATACACACATAGGACGGCATCAGTCACAAAGCCACCACAGCCCAGCATAATTCTGACATAATAAACGAACAGTTTTTGATTAAATTCAGTAAAAAGCATATAAAACCTAGTTTTATTTTTCCCCTGATACCAGTTATACCCAAATCAAAGAAAATGAGTATGCAGAATAAGAGTATCCTAGGAACACCTTAATAACTGAATATGTATCACACTGAAGTATACATTCTATACTTTCGTTAGAAACAAATGTCTATCTCTTCTCCACACTGCTTAAACGGCTTACTAGCTTTAAATTCTGCCAAATTAAAACTATCATTTCTTATGGGATGCTTGGATTTTTCAAACGAGGGGAGCAGAGTGATTACTAATTGACTAAGTCTGCTATGGGCTAAGAAACCAGATTGTCAAATCTGTTAGCACCGAATCTAAAATGAGTGTAGGTTTCAGGGCACCTCCTCCGAGCACAGTCCATGAACTTTAGAGCACGGACCTGGCACCGTCTGTGTCATAAGCCCTGAAGCCATTCTCGCTCACTTCTGGGTACCTCCAGCATCCTAGATAACAGGCTTCAGAAGAAATGAGCTACTGGCACAAATCTTCCTCCACTCCTCAACGCTAATGCTAAGCAAACTGTCATTTTCCTCGAATATTCATATTCCAATATGTCAAAGTAATCTCCATTTTCTAGAAGAATAGACAATTTTATAATGCAAAATATTGAACCCCAGAGTATTATTTTTTAAAACTCTAACATACACTAGGGAAAACAAAAGCACAATAATCTATGTTTCCTAACTATCCAATGGTATTGTGCTGTGGGGCAATTTCCTGATTGATTCAGTTCATCTTTCTGTACCTGTATTGTCAAGAAGTATGATCATGTTGTTCCAGGCCAAACTGTGCTCCGGTTTCAGCACAGTAGCATTTCTCCAGGCATTCAATGCATCCACATGACGATTCAGATCTGCATACTGAAAATAAAGCATGGACCCAAAAAATCAATATATTCCAATTTTTCTGCTTTCCCTTTCCAAGACATTACCAAACCAAATCCAAAACCTAACTTGTATTTATTGAGCTTCAATTTTTTCATATTAACTCATTTAACTCTCAAAATAATCTCAATGAAGTAGAAAACTATCCTCATTTTACAGATGAAGCAACTGAAAAATAGAGAAATTAAGTAACTCGCCTAAAGTTACACATCTAGAAATTGTACAGCAGGCATTAGAACTGAGTGGTCTAGCTCCCAAGGCTACAACTTCTTAACCTATAACTTAGTGATTCCAAGTGTCGAATCATATTTCAGACTACTGAAAAGAAATAAGGTAAAAATCTAATCATTAGCCTTTTTTGCCTTTGGTGAGGAAGATTGTCCCTGAGCTAACATCTGTGCCAATCTTCTATTTTGCACATGGGACACCACCACAGCATGGCTTCATGAGCCGTGTGTAGGATATGAACCTGTGAACCCTGGGCTGCCAAAGTGGGGTGTGCAAACTCAACCACCACGCCATGGGGCCAGCCCCTAATCACCAATCTTTTTCTAGAAAGACTTCATATAGTCTGTCTTTGAAAAAGTATTACTTTAAAGGGAAAACAAAACATTTAACGTGACTAAAAGTTAAGTGTGTTGGGGCCGGCCCAGTGGCACAGCGGTTAAGTTCACACATTCTGCTTTGGTGGCCCAGGGTTTGCTGGTTCCGATGCCGGGTGCAGACATGGCACCACTTGTCAAGCCATGTTGTGGCAGGCATCCTACATACAAAATAGAGGAAGATGGGCACGGATGTTAGCTCAGGGCCAGTCTGCTCAGCAAAAAGAGGAGGATTGGCAGCAGATGTTAGCTCAGGGCTAATCTTCAAAAAAAAAAAAAAAAGCTAAGTGTGTCAAATTCATCTCGTGAAGAATGGTCTAGTAGCCTCTTCCTGCCCACATCTAAGCTTCACATACAACTATGAGTAGATCAGACATTGTAAATTCCTTGGAAAAGCCTTATGTGGTAATGCAAAACCCCTTGGCATTCTGGAGCCTGTGCGCCTCCTTTAGGAAGAGAGAATTATCTGCTGCTTTCTTTTGAGAGAGCATGTTGTTTAACATCCATAACAGAATACCAAATGGCAGCTCTCCACTTCATGGTGAATAAAAGCACTCAGGGAGAAAGTGATGGAGTTTTCAGCAGGTGACCCTTTGGCTCTCTTTAACTCAGTTCAAAAGCACATCTTATGTGAATGAACTCAGTGCCTTATATTCTGCAAAAAGTACAAATGATAACAATTCATGAGTTTAAGCCTATTTCTTTATTTACTGTCAAGTCCGTCTTTTCAGTAGAAAACAGAAACATTCTGACTTGCCCTATGACCTACACAGCAAATAGGTGGCATATTATACAAGAAAAGGAAAGGTTTAATGCATTATGGAAACATTTGTGAATATCCACTTGCTAAAGATGTTGTCAGAGTTTCCCATGGGACTCAGAGACAAGTTAAGTATTTTACCCCTTAAATGAGGAAATACGAAAAGTTCAAAAAACTTAAAAATACTTTAGACTGCTATCATACTAACATTTAATTGTCTCTCTCTATTTGATGTTGCATTGATCTCTCCGTCAATTCTCCCTAGCAAGTGATATGCATTTGAGTCACATGGACAAAATCCCTGGTGATATTCTTTCTAACACACTCAGGAAAACCAACATAATTTCATTTAAACAACAGGAAAATTCTTCATGTATTTTATTATTTATTACTATTATTATTATTATTATTATTTATTGAAGATTAACAACAGACTGAATCAGGTAAAATTTACTTTTGTCTTGACCTTTACCCTTCTTATAGCATCTATACAAAGTGAACAATACTCTAAGGGAAGCAGAGAAAAATGGTGACGTTGCAAGAACCACCCATCCAGAAAGTGGGTGGATGACGCGCACGTTATTTACCTATTAGTCCCATGCCCCACCTTCTACATTCTGCAAACTATATTTCCCAGGGTCCTTTGCCACGAGGCTTTTGTTAAATCTCTTCCAATAGGAGTCACAGGTGACCTCAGAGCGCTGGAAGAGGGGAGTGGCCCTTTCCCCCCACTCTCCTCTCTCCTTCCTTATCTTCAGCAGTGTCTCTGAAGTGGCTCTGTCCCTTCCTCCACAGTCCCAGGGCTGGAAGCAGAGATTCTTCCTTCAGGATCTCAGCTCTTAACTTCTGCTGGCACCACTTCCTCCCGTTTGTTCCCCCAATGCTACAGGCTTTCCTTTTACTCTGAGTTAATATTACCTCACCATTTTTGTTCTTCCAGCCTTCCAACAACTGTCTAGCCAATTCCCTGTACTGAATCTTCTCTATTTGCAATACTTAGTTACCATGGTTGCTGTTTTCCTGAATGGATCCTGAGTGACACAAACAGTCCTTGCATGACGAACTGTCTCTAGCAATGTCTCCAGTCACTGTGACCGTCCCTCTCCAGCACCAGTAGCATGCCCCAAATAATCCAGCTCTCCCCAATTTCCTATTTCACCAGACAACTACATTGTATTTCCTTCTTATCTGGGTCCAGAAATCAAAACACATTTCTGTCTCTGTTACTAAAGGGGGACTAAGGAGGATTTTTAAAAAAGAAACTTTTAAGTTATTTGCCAATACAAAAATGTGTTAGTTGAGCTGTTAAAGATTAAGCTCTTAATGCTTTTAAGCTGTCAGGCAGGCAAAAGCTGGATAATTAAACAGCAACGGAGAGCAAAATCTTTAAATAAGCAGGAACAGTTGGCAGAAGGGAACATAGGAAGATCACCTCACGGTAGCATAATTAGCAAACAATATACACCGAGAGCAGTACAAGGTCTCAACACAGCTAATACTACAGAGGATCTTCTACGTGCAAGTGGGATGAATTCCAAGGACTGGAGCACATGGTAAAATCCCACATTTTACATTCTATCTTCCTTTCTTTGGATGGAACTCTGTATTACAGAGGGCTGATGGAGCACAAATTCTCTATTTTTCCAAACCGCAAGGAATTGCAGTGATAGGCAGCTACTACGGGAAGGAGAAGACTGCTAAGTGTTAGAGCTTTAAAGTATAACTAGAAGGCAGCAGGCAGACACACTCACTTCGCAAATGATAACCTAAAAAGCTACTTCCAAAAAAGAAAAAAAAAAGGGAATGAAAGAAGAATTCACGTGGATATACGTATATGCCATACGAGTAACTAATTAAAAAGACACAGTAACCAGAAACAGTAACCCCTGCAATAACCACCCAACGCAAGCATTCAGATAATACCCAAGTTGCTCCCATCCCCCATTCTCACTTCATTAACTTTGTAAGGATCCACCCTACTCTGCACGTAATCGAATTTTTTGGTCTCTACTTTTATCATTATGGTGAAGTTTTACTGTCTTCCTACCCTCCTGTCCAGAGAGAAAAATGAAGAGGATCAAAACGTGCCACCCCAAATATACCACTTCGGCATAAGGATTATTGCACTGCTGGCATTTGAGAGTCAACAGATACAAAAAGAAGGCTTCTTGGAGCTTCTCTTTTCTAGCTAAAGCAGAGACTGAGAAATGAGGACTCCATAAGTCCCCTTTCCTGGGGAAGTTTTACGGTCATGAAGAAGGACTGACACAGACAAACCTTACTTCATTCCTCTCCCCTGTACATTGACCTTCTGACTGTTTGCCACCCTTGGAAGCCTGCAACCTCTTCCTTTGTCTTGTTACTTCTCTTCAAATTTATTGTTCTTTGTGAAGATGCTATATAAGCCCAAGTTCTAACCATCCCTTTGAGTTACTCATCACTGAGTTTCTCCCATGTGTATGCACAATGCATGTATTAATAAACTCTGTTTTTCTCTTGTTAATCTGTCAGTGCTCAGTCTAATTTGCAGGGCCCCAGTCAGAGAACCCAGGAGGGTAGAGGAAAAAGGTTTTTTTCCTCCCTTACAGCAGCTTAGCACTAGAATAATTTTAGCTCTCCTTGAATCTTCAGGTTTCACAGAGAAAGCTGTTTCAACAGCAAAATATGTAGCAAGATCATAAAGCACAAAATTTTAAAACATTAAAAAACCTGAAAAAAACCCAGAAAGGCATGGAAGGTCAAGTGGCTCTGGAGAAAGTTAAGTGGGGCAACAGGAATATCTTGCTATCAACCTTCCTTGTTCACACACCTTGCTGTGGTGTGGATTCAGTCACATTACTGCCACCGTCCCCCTGTGCCCAGGGAGAAAGAATTCTTCTTTTCCACACTAGAGTAAGTGTATAGAGATGGTACCTTCCTTTGATACATTGTAACTGAAACATGTTCTCTATTTTTTGAATAATAAAAACACATAAGCGACTTCACTTTAAAATTTAGAAAACAAGCAGTACCTGCCCAATTAAAGTGACTGATGCAGAGTGAGAGAAGTAAAACTTCACCATCATTAGCCACATGCTCCTGCCATCTTCTTTCCTCCATGCATAAAATCCTACCTCCACAACTCACACAGTCATGGGTACCCAGTCCAGAAACAAAGCAGTTTAGACCAAACACGTTCTCGTCACGGTAAAAACTGAAGCCTGGACTTTCAATAAACTTAAAACAGTTCATGTTTTCTAGCTTGTTCTCCTTAAACAGTTTCTTCTGCTCTGACTTGGTCAGTCTGTCTGCTCAAGGTTCAGACAGATCTGCTTCCCAAATGCAGGGCCAACAACACAGTAGTGGAATCACCTGGGAATTTTGTTGGTTTTTGTAAATACCGATCCTCTATGGAGCTTCTGACTTCCTAAATCTGAGATGGGGGGATGACTTAGACGTACAACCAGTTTTGGGAACCACTGGGTTCGAAAGCACGAGGACTCCACCAGACCAAGAAGCTTCAGGACTTCAAAATGAGGATAAACAGGCATCTCTTTGAAACAACTTTGACGCAATCTCACCTGTGAGGCTGGGCTAGATAAAATCCAGAAAATTGTACATAAACTTCTCTTAAAAATCACATCACTACGCATGTATTCCAGTTTCACTAAAATGAGCAAAAAGTTTTTTCCTTAACAATTTTATTTAACAGAACTAAATATATGAGGAACATATGTATTTAGTTTCTTGAAACCAAATTAAAGGGTTAAGGGAAGGGAGAATATACAATCATTCTTGTTTAATTCTGCACTCTGGGGGGTAAGTTTTCTTTCTTTTTCCAGCTTTATTGACATAAAATTGGCATATAACATATCTAAGTTTAGGCTGTACGATGTGATGATTTGATACACTTATATATTGTGAAATGATTAACACAATCAGGTTAGTCACCACCTCATCACCTCACATCATTACCATGTTTTTTGTGTGTGGTTCTTTTCTTTATTAACGAAATCCAGAACTTTACTGATCAAGCTGTGGAAACTCACGGAGGCTTTTCAGAAATGATGACAGAATCTATTTCACCATCCCTTATCAAATATGTGTTTTCAGATTTTAAGATTATTGGACTTATTCTATTAGTTACTGCTGTAATATTTATTTGAGTAAAAAAATAAACTATAAAAAAGAAAATCAAGATCAATCAGACCTTTATAAATATTATGTCAATAACTAAAAAAAGAAAGTCACTATAGGACACATTATTTTCTATCTCCATCGCATCGTCTCAAAGCCCTTTGCAATAAATCCTGTCCTCCTGAGCCGTCTTTTATGGGGAGAACAGTTCTCAGAAGGAAGGCCCCGGGGGTGCAGGGAGCTGTCCCTGGAGGAAGGAGAAGACGGAAGCTCAGAAATCACATTATGAATTTGTTTTTTTAATCTCGGTTTTTATTCGTGTTTTAAAAACAGAGAAACCGATGTTTATCAGGAAGTTACCTCTTGGAGTACTGTTTTACAGGGCACAAGGGACATTAAAAATTGTAATTTATTCCTTGGTTTAACCTGCTGCCTCTGTGATCTCTTAAATTTGGCCAATCCAAGTTGAACTGCTCTCTAATTAGAGCTTAAAAAGTTACACAGAAGGAAATCAAATGGCTACCTTCAACTGAGAAGAACTAATGTGAAAGAACTTTGTAAGATATAGAGAGGCAAAAACAGGTGTTACCACTGTCGTTTTACTATAAATAAAGGAAAAACCAAGCTTGTCCTCCGCAGCCACAGGGCATCTTCCACTTACCAGACGCCCGAGGTTGTAGTAACAATCCGGGTATTTCCTTCTGTGTTTGATTGCTGTCCGGTAACTCTGCTCAGCAGCTTCGAACCGTTTCAGGCTGTTCTGCACTATGCCTAAATTCATCCAGGCGGCAGCAAAGTCCGGCCTGGAGGAGCATTTTTTAAAAAGATAAGTGAGGAAAAGAAAGGCTCAGACCGCAGAAGGCAGGAGCGCATTTCTGTGCCATGAGCATAATTATACAAACAAAGCTTACTGTATTTGTACAGCCAAAGACAGCAGCTCCTCTGCTTCCTGTAGCTCGTTCCTTTCTTTTAAGATATTTCCAAGATTATTCATGGCATGAACGTACTTGGGATTTAATCTGGAAGTGGAGAAAGAAACCAAGCCGTCTGTTAATGCTCAGCAGTCTTCATCAAACTCTCAGCAATTGGTAAAGATATCTCGAAGTTGGGGTCTTTATGGGGACAGGTTTTTAATCCTAGAAAGTTAAAACAAGACACGTATATCAACGGGACAAGATGCTTGCAGTACCTCACAGCTTCCCGGTAATATCTGACGGCGGCTGTCTGATTGCCTTTATCAGCCAGGTTTTTGCCAACATTGTAGTGAACCTGAAAATATAGATAATAACCTGACCATCAGCTGATAGACTTTTTTGTTCCAGGGTATCTATCATATCTTCTAACTGAAAACAAAAGGTAAATATATTTAGGAAAAAACCCACCCACCAAAACTTTAGCTAAAACCCTAGAGAGGGCTGGCCAGGGTTCCTTTAATCCCCCACCTGTAAGAGAAGATGGCACGAAAGGGTGGTAATGAGCAGATGGTCTCGCTGAAGTACGACAAAAGGATGCTTAACTAAAGAGCTCACCAGAGAAAAGCGGGAAACTACGAAGCTGGGTTAGTTTTACTGCTAAACCCTCAACTCCCCCGCCCTCCGCCGCCCACCACACACACCTGTCCCTCACTGGGGCTGAGATGTGAAGTCATGTGGACGTGAGAGGAAGAAAGACGAGTCTGTACTGTGAACCACAGCCCTTTCTTCTGTAGCATTACAAACATTCTGCTTTATACTAATAAAATTCCTCCTCCCTTATTCCTGCAGGTGAGGACTGATGCCCCCTGCACCCCAGGCACTGCTGGCAGTTAGAGACACAGTGGTGGGCAAACCGGTCAGACCCCTGCCTCCTGGCCCCCCGCTGCAGCTGTGAGTCAAATGACAGCATCATAAGTGTGTCACTCGGAGGCACCCGGGGGCCTAGGAGGAAGGTGAGTCCTGAGGGCGGCTCCTGGTTTGAGTGGGGAGGCTGTCCTGTGAACGGCCTTTCAGCGGAGGGAAAAGCGGGGCGGGCAGCAGGTCAAGGGGATGCGTTGGAGGAAGCACCCCAGGTGGAGCAGGCAAGTGGGGAGGGTCCCTGGCCTGGGAGGAAGCCTGGGACATTTGGTTGAGCAACTACGAGAAGCACAGTGTCACTGGGGTGCAGAGGGCAAGGGAGACCAGGCTGGAGAGCGTGGGGAGCCGACTGCACAGGGAACCCCGAGAGGTGGCAGGTCTGGTTTAGTCTTCGTCCCAAGAGCAATAGAAGGCCTGACGGCTTTCAAGGTGACATGATGGGTGGCTAGGCTTGTCTCGGGGGAGAGGAATCAGGCTGACTTGAAGTCCTTGCAAAACCCAAGTGGAGAGACCAAGGTGGCCACCTGAGCTCAGGAGCAGGCTGGGGACACCAACGTGGCAGGCCGGCAGGGACAGGAGGTAAAGCCATGGGTGGTGTGATCACCCAGAGAGAGCCAGTCCGCGGAGGAAAAGCTCCCCTAAAACCTTCTCATTTCTCTCCTCTCATCAAACTACAAGCTAGAGAAACCAACAGGCATACAGCAATAGAAAGAGAAGGAGATGCTGAAATGTTCTAGAACTAGAGAGAGGTGGTAGTCCCACCACACCGAATGTACTAATGCCATTGAATTGTCCACTTATAAATGGCTAATTTTTAAACTGGTTAATAATAATCATTTTATTCTGAAAAACATGGGAAATTTTTTTAGTTTATTTTTTAATTGCGGTAAAATAAACATAACTTAAAAGTCACCATCTTAATCATTTTTAAGAGTAAAGTTCAGTAGGGTTAAGTATATTCACACTGTTGTGGAACCAATCTCCAGAACTCTTCATCTTGGATATTTGAAACTCTGTACCCATTAAACACTAACTCTCCATTCTCCCCTGCACCCAGCCCCATTCTACTTTCTGTTGCTATGAATGTGACTACCCTAGACACCTCATACAAGTGTAAACATACAGCATTTGTCTTTTTGTGACTGGCTTATTTCACTTAGCATAACCTTCTCAAGGTTCATCCATGTTGTAGCATGTGTCAGAATTTCCTGCCTTTTCAAGGCTGAATGATATTCCATTGTATGTGTGTACCACATTCTGTTCACCCATTCATCTGTCTATGGATACTTGGGTTGCTTCCATCTCTCGGCTACTGTGAATACTGCTACTATGACCACCTCTGTTCAAATATCTCTTTGAGATCCTGCTTTCAATTCTTTTGGGTATACATATACATATACCCAGAAGTGGAATTGCTAGATCATCTGGTAATTCTATTTTTAATTTTTTGAGGAACAAAAATGGTTAATTTTATGTTAGGAGAATTTTGCCTCAATTAAAAAGAGAGAGAGAATAAGGAGAGAATTTTTAATGACTGAAGAGGGTGGTAAAGCAGACTGGAAGAGACAGACTCATTGCTGCAAACCTCCCAGAAATTTTCAGGTCATCTTAACTCAAGGGCACCAGGGAAGCCAACTTAATGGCATTTTCTCAAGTGGGCTCAGAAAACATTATAAGGGAAGGAGCTGGGACCCAACCTGCCACTGGGCCAGCAGACCTGCACAGACTCATGAGGATTATTATCTGAAGTATGAATTGATGATCCAAAGCTCCTGTTGGACGCTTACAACGTAAAGGTCAATAGCTATCTCAGAGGAGATGATGCCACAGAAATTCGTTCAATTAGGTGTGTTGAGGGTGACTAGTAATAACAACAGTGACATCAGGAGCCGGCACAGGCTGGGGGCTGCCCTGAGCCAGGTGCAGGGTCGGCGCTGTACACACAGTCTCTTCTCACAGCAGCCGTGCCAGGTGGCTGCTGTCACCCTCCCTTTCGAGCTGAGGGGCTGCCTCAGCATCGTTAAGCGCCTTACCCAAGGTTGTGGTACTGGATTTGAACCCCAGCTCCAAAGCCTCTGTTTTTTTCTCACGGTATCACATCCATTTATTAGGGTGTTGGGTGAAGATGGGGCTGACTGCTCGAGGTGATTTCTAGGCCCATTCATTCGTACCATCTACTATTTTTCTCAAAGTAAAATAGCTTTTCTTGTTGTGTGTTAGGGCTGAATTGTGTCTCCCCAAATTCCTATGTTGAAGCCCTAACCCCCAGCACCTCAGAATGTGACTGCATTTGGAGACAGGACCTTTAAAGACGTGATTAAGGTAAAAGGAGGCTGTCAGGGTCCCTAATCCAATGTGACTGGTGTCCTTATAAGAAAAGGAAATTTGGACACACACAGACCCAGAGATGCATGCAGACAGAGGCGAGACCACATGAGGACACAGCGAGAAGCTGCCTTCTGCAAGCCAAGGAGAGGCCTCAGGAGAAACCAACCCTGATGACGCCTTGATCTTGGACCTCTGGAGGACCCCTGGCCTCCAGAACTGCGAGAAAATAAACTTCTGTTGTTTAAACCACCCCGTCTGTGGTACTTTGTTATGGCAACCCCAGCAAATGAATATATCGTGAAATACAATAATTGTTTAAACACATTCCAGTAGCATCACATCAGAACACTTCAAAACCCCCTCTGAAAACATAACCATATCCCGCCGTATCAATTGCAACCTACAGTTATAGCATGTCTTCATGAACACTAATATTTCTGGAAGGGTATGGAGCGACATTCTTTAAGCACAAATGCAACAGATTTTTTTAACTGCCGATTTTAAAGTACATACATTTCTTTTTACCTAATCTGACAAAAGGAATCACGAGCAGCGAAAGCACAATGATAGAAATGTGTGCTTTGGGGCAGCACACAGTGTAATTTAAACTTCCTGAACCAAATTATTGCCCATTCGCAGGCATTATCATCTTCAAATTACAGCTTGGAGGAGGCTGGTCAATGCCCTGCCCGAGCACGCATTGAAAGATGTATTCTAAACGATTCGACTTGGCGCCTCCCCAGCCGCAGCCTGGAAGCCCTGCTTCACCTCCTGTCCCACGCACAAAAGAACCAAATCTGGAGACAACCCGTGAGCGATGTGCTTGTGGTCCCCAGAATACAAATACAGCTTCTGCTCAGACTTCAACAAGACTCCCGCCTCTTCCGCCCCTGAGCTCCTGCTGCTCGCCTTTGTTCCGGGGAAATTCTGTTTTCTCAATAAAAAGCTCAGACAGTGTTCAACTGCCCTCTGCAGCATAGAGAGTGTTCTGTTCAACACCCAGAATGCCAGAGACCAGAGGATCCGGAGAGAAAGCAGGGCACTCTGGAAATTCAGACTGCGGTTATTTCAATGGAACCAAAGATCTGATGCAGCCTAGAAGGCAAGCTTTCCAACGTCAAGAACTGTAAACAGGTTCACCCAGGCCAGCCTTATCCCATGGCTTATATGGAGGGAATTATTTGAATAGAAAACAGTTGCCTAGATGACCCATCGTAAAAAAAAAAAAAGCAAAATACCCTCATGAATAGTTTCCTTAAAATAGTGTTTAAAGAATGATTGATTTTTGCTTCCGTGGAATGGAAAAGATTGAAAAAGCCTGTTTACTCCTGAACTTTCCCTCTAGCCTTTGTGATTCATACACTGCGGCAGTGGAGCATCACAGAAGCCACAGAAAACACTCACCACTGCAACCCAGGGACATGCAACACAAACACATAAAAGCATCAACAACGCAAGGCCCTTAACACCACTGCTAAAACCAACTTGTTTCAAATATTCTGCCAATATTTGATGTTAAACTTAAATTTTTTTTTTCCTGAGGAAAATTTGGCCTGAGCTAACATCTGTTGCCAATCTTCCTCTGTTTTGAATGTGGGTCGCCATCACAGCATGGCTGATGAGTCGTGTAGGTCTGCACCCAGGATCCCCAAACCTGTGAACCTGGGCTTCCAAAGCAGAGCACGCTGAACTTAACCACTATACCATGGGGCCAGCCCAAACTTAAAATGTTTTAAACACATAAAAATCCTATAACCCATTCTGGTTCATCCTTAAGGAAATATCTCATTGTGGTAAGTGATCCTTTGCATTGTTAAAGGAATTCAGAATTGTATTACAGAGTTGACACAAAGTGCAACATACTTTTAAGCCTTAAAAACTAAAAGTGACTATACATATAATCAGATACTTGGTATCTCATCCACTAAGTAGGCTCAAGAAATGCAATTTCCATTTGGCCCAGTTCAATCACTAATACTGAGCCCCTACCATATGCAAGACACTGTAGGTAATTCAAATGCAGACCAGGCACCAGCATGACCTATGTGGATATTACGATCGAGTCTCAGTTTGTAAATCTGGGCCTAATCTGGGGCCAGGTGCCAAGTGCCTACTTAACATTCAATGAATATAAAGTGAAACCAGTACAGAAAATGTATTGCCTGCAACAGAGTTGAACAAAAACCAGTGTCTTCCTAAGTGAGATCGCTTCCCTGAAATCAACCTAGCTTTTTGCCAAAGAAAGGAAGTAAAGACAATTTTATTACACTGCAATTTACAGTAGAAGGTAAAAAAAAAAATCTCTATCTTGCTGATACTGATAATGAAAAGAGTTCTTAGAAAGGACCATCACTATCGGGTTCACGTTGAAAATGAGGTCTTTCACGTATGTCTTAAATTAAAGAGAGAAAACTATATACACAGACACAGGATGACTGTGTGCACACCCTGTGTTTTCTAACCTATAACATATGAAATCACTTACTAGGGCAGATGTAGAGGCACAAACGTCACATATGTCCCATCCCCCTTCATTTACTAGGATAATCTGATCTGGACACCGCACCAGACCAGGTCTCTATCTAGTCACCTAAATACTAACCTTTCTATGCCTCAGTTTCTCCCATTTGGAAAAATAAAGAAAATAATACCCTCTCTCTAAAAACCTTAGAGAGAGGATAATGGAGATTAATTATAGAGCCTCTACAAAGAAATCTGAGTTCCTCATGGGGAATGACTATATAAATAGAAGGCGTAATTACTGTGATTCAAACAGAAAAGCAAAAATAAAGCAAGTCCATTAACATTTATGAAATTAAATCACAGGCAATTTATTTTTAGTAGCATAAGACAAATTGATAGGCCAACAAATCAAATTAACAATAAAAGCTTGAAGTCATTCACTCTTTTATTTAAGTCACGTTTTAACTACCAAACATGAACAAGATTTTTTTAATTCAAGAAAAAAACAAAGAGTCAGCACCTTTGATACTATTCTTCACTTCAGGGTCAAAGTAAGAAGTCAACTATTCATTAGATTAACTCATATAATTTTGCCTGAAGTCATTGCCTTCTCTTAACATAGAATGTGGAATGAGACAGAACTCCACAAAGTTCTCTTTTGCCCCTACAAAGGATCTCTTTTAAGCATCCTAGGAAGCTGCAATTCTGATGACGCAAGAGAGAATGTATCATTATTTAATAATAATAATAATAATAATCTATACTACAAGAAAACTCTTCCAACCTAACCCCTTGCCCTCCCATTTTGAGCAAGTAGCACTGCCTTCTTGTCATCTAAGGCGACAATCAAAACTAAAGTAAGCCTAAGAAAGCTAACATTTCTTGAGCACCTACCATGTCAGGGCACTTCAGACGCCATATTGTCTTAAGGCCTCACAGTCAACCCAGGAGATAGGGATTATGCCCCTTATAGACAAGGGCACTAAAAGTTCAAAAAAGTTCAGTTTCGCTCAAAGAGGCACTCCTGGTTAAACGAAGAGCTTGATTCATCAAGAACACAGGTGGAAGAAATTCCTTTCAAACTGCTTCAACAAAAACACTGCCAAGTTTAAAGTCTATACATTTATTTTACTTACTCTGACAAAAGGAATCACAAGCAGAGAAACCACAGGTGACAGAAACGCGTCCTATTTCACACCAAAAAGCATAATTTAAACTCCCCAAACCAAACTGCTGTCCCTTCACGGGCAATACGCTCTTCCAGTTATAGATTGGAGGAGGCTAGTGAATGCTGTGGCTGGAGCACGTGTTTTGAAATGGGGTCTCAACGGTTCAACTATGTGCCTCCCCCAGGCCCCTGTGCGGTGTCACTCCCCCTGCCACCACTTCAAAGGGTGACTGGACCAACTGGAAGACGAATAAAACCTCATTTAAGTAATGTGCTGTTGCATTGACATTGTCTGTTTTTAACAATTTCTTTTGAATTATTTTGGCTAAGTGGAATTTTAACAAATTCTATCAAAATCATTAAAAAAAAAAAACGACAACAAAGAAAAACCCAAGGATTTGGTCATGGTCTTATGCGAGATTCTGTGTGAAGGTAAACATTCTTCACTTTTAGCTGTCGAACTTCAACTATATCCTAGTAAAGTCTTTCTAAAGAAACAGGGCAGCCAGCATACCTTGGCATTGAGAGGACACACAGACAGGGCACTTCTGAAAAGCTGCTCTTCACTCCGCCAGTCGCCGCTGCGAATCATGCACCTCAGTGTGTTTATGAACAAAATTCCCAGTACAAAAGCAGCAACTAGTTTCTTAAGAAGAGAGAGACAGGGTAAATGTCATCAGTAAGATCCATCCAGTCGTCCTGGTTAGGAATGGCACCACTCTTGGCCAATACCTTTTTCTTCGTGTATTTACTGAGAGTTCCAAATCCGAAAGTCAGCAGCATGCAGTACCCAGCACTGGGGAGGTACAGGACTCTCTCTGCAACCACAAAGCCCACTCGGAAGAACAGGTTACTTGCAGGAAGAAATGGGATAATGAGAAATCCCAGGCCCAGCGTAAGGATCCTGGAAAATGAGAAGTACTTAAACGGCTATTGCAGACATCTCAAAAAAATGTCTTACTCACCATTAAATTAATGATAAAAGACTTTTTTTTTCATTCCATCAATTGAGAAAAGGTAGCAGCAGCAGCAAAAAAGTGTCATCAATAGAGAGGGTTTAGCCTGGCTGTATTAGGATAAGACATAAAAATCTTACTAAGTTAGCACCAGGCATGAGGATAAAACTTACAAGTCATGCAATTCATATGAAGAAAGTTGGAATGACTACATCTGTGAGGCCTTATTAATTCACTTACTCCTAACTCTACCTCACACCATACAGGCACTGAAGAGCTCAGTGGAGATTGGTCCCAATTAGTCCAATATAGTTTTCATGGGAAAAAAAAAATCTTCTCCCTAAACTTAACAGGAACAATAATACTTAACTAGGTTATACTTTATAAAATCTGAAATAAACTAATATCATTTTTCGGTGTGACATCACCACAAATTTCAGGCAAATAAAAAGACAGCTGGGCAATGAAACACTTCTGGAACTAGGCAATTATTTCTAATGTCCCATATGATGCAAGAGGAGGAATTAAGAAGTAGGGTCAAGTTTGGTGGCTCCTTCCTGGACCCTGTGCCAACAGTATTTAAAATAATAAAATCCTATTGCACATGTATAAGTGAATTGGGATTAAAGTTTGTTGCCCTTTAGAATCACGAACCAATTTAAGACATAGGTGAACGTGAAACAATTTGAGAAATTACTAATCAAATTCCATAAACACTTATGCTTAAAGGAAATCATCTTAAACAGTTTTCTTTCTCATGAAACACATTTGTTTTCCCCCAAATTATTTTTTCAATAACCTTTTTTTTTCTTTTTTTCCTCTTTTTTGGTGAGAAAGAATAGTCTCTCTGGGGCAGCAGTTTATTTTGCACCAAACAACAACAGGAGGAATCACCAGAGTTCCCACCAGGGTTTTCTGAAGGAGAATGGTGAAATAATGGGCACAACACACATCAATTACACTCCCTGTTCCGACCATAAATTACTCTTTACCACCTACAGCGAAAAGGATCTCAAAATGCTACTTCATGGGGAAAGGGGGAGGAGAGACAGGGCAGCTCCCACCTCACCCTCCTTCATGTTCACTCCCCATGAGTGAAAGCCAGCGATGGATTCCAAATGGGTGGAACTCATCCTAGCCATAAATATGTATTTGAAATCAACGTCCCTAGACATTACTTCCACAAAATCGTTAAAATGATGAGTGTTGGATTCAGCAAAATGCTTCTGACTCAACGCCTGTGGAAGTTAAGATTCAGGGCACCTCTCACCTTCTTCTGTGGCTGTCTTCAGAGCACAGGGCTTGGCGTATTAGCCCAATTAGGCAGATCCAGAGAGCTGCTAGTGCAATTACCCTCCAGTCACCGACTGACTTAATGAGGGGGATGCAGCCCATTGACCAATCAAAACACAGCCACCAGGGGCACAGCAGCAGCCAGGCATTCAATGAATAGTAGTAATTATAGTTTATGGCCTGTCAGTCAAAAGGAAAACAAACATTTATTTGATACTGAACTTGAAAAAAAGAATATATCTCCACTTTTGAGGCATCCATATGCCTCTATTCAACGAGAGCAATTGTATAAAATAAAATGTTGCCACTTTCTACATTGGACATAGGGCTGTAGTTTGCAATTTATTAAATGCATTCATATTTTAATACATAAAAATACAGTAAAACCACCAGACTGTGCTATACATTTGTTATATTTCTGGTCAAACGATGTCCCATTTACTTAGTGGATGCTCAAAGTCTGTGACCCAGGAAATCCGAGGCCCAGGGGTCATCTATCTGCCTAACACCATAAGAATAGGGTTTTATGGTCTTTCTCTTGATTTCTGTCTCTATGAAATGCACAGCTAAGAATCTGTAGCTTCACACTCTTGTCTTCAGAAAAAGAAAACCTTTACAATAAAAAGTCTTGACACCATTAGGTTTTTAAAGATAGCACCAATATTGTTCTACTTTGTCTTAACCACACTACGTCAATTTCCTTTATAATAAAAGTAATGGGGTCAGGGGACATTTTAACGAGGCTGGCAGGAAACTTGATATTAGAAGGAACCACTCCTTTTTAATTTTGATTAGAAAGGAACTACAAGGGATCTAAACCCTCTCAATCCCCTAATAAAAACCTGGTTTCATCCTAGAATATCCTTGGTGGGAGCAAACGAAGATGGAGGTGTTACATTTATTAGGGATTTTGTGGGTGTGCTGGGGAGGGAGATGAGGAGGAGGGAAAAAGGGCCTGAGAATTTGGTGGGCAGAGAAGACAAGCCAAGGGTGAGCAGACTCAAGACTCACCCTGACGAATATGCTCTCCGCGAAGGAGGCGGGGTTGTCCACCTCGGTGAACGCCGGCGGCCCGGTGCCCATGATTCTCCAGCGCACGAAGAGCACCCCTGCTCCCCCCGAGGCCAGGAGGGTCATTCTGAAGAGGAGGCCCCCATTCCTGAGCACGCCAATGCTCTGAAAGGACACCGCAAAGTCCCTGATGTTGCAGATTTTCAAATAAAAGTGTGGCCACGCCATGTACAAATGCACAATTCTGCCTGAACCTCGCTGACACGGTTCTTTAAAGAGCTCGCTGTCAGAATTCGAAATTGCAAGAAATACTTTGAAAATGGCATTTTAAATCAGCTGGTACTTGACATTTTCTATGTTTGAGTTGGAGACAGACGTATATACTCACCTCTAATGACTTGTCCTTATGTAGTACCTTCTGGACAATTTCCAGAACATTTAATTTGCCTATCACCAAGATGTCAAAAACGGCATTCAACCCCTAAGGAGGCAAAGCAAGGCAATCAGTGACGGGAGAGCCTGACTCTGATTAGGTAGCAATTATACTTCACAATTTATTACTGAATCTAGATAAGGAATGTAGTAGATTAGATAATCATGGAAGACCTCTTCAGCTCTAAAATAAACCTCCCCTATTGTTCGTATGAAATTAGCTCATGGTAATATATTTTATTAAGTAAATCCCTGTCAGCCATCATTTCATAGTCTGCATATAAAAGTGCCATAACTTTCAGGATAGCTAGAAATTCGGGGTTCCCAGAAGTTCTGCAGAGGTCCTCTTCCCTTTTTTTTTTCTTTACTGTAAAACAGTCCCTCAGTTGATGTAACAGAGTGGTTACCTGTGTGTAATTACGCCTGTGAAGATAACGGCCTCAACCTCAAAAACCCAGCCACATAAGTAAATACACCTCCAGAATCTCACGCGCTGACTGATTTTGGCAAGGGCAGCAGAAGCAGGACCAGAGCACACAGAATAATCTCTGAGGGGTCTTTAGAGCTCTCTCAGGTTCAGACTCTTGGTTGTCCACCAGCTTTCTGTAGTTGCTGGGCACACAGCCAGACTGCATTTCCCAGCCTCCCCTGGGGTTAAGCAGGGTCACGTGATTGAGTTCCAGCTGAGGGAACGTGGGAAGAAAGGATGATGCCCCAACTCGGAGGTCTGGTTATAGACCTGGGCACGCTCCTCCACTTGTTTCCCCTTTGGCGGCTGTGATGGAGACCATGGAGAAGATCAGGGCGACTTCAGAAACTACGCACTCGAGACGGCAGAGCCTCCGCCAGCCTGGGTCCACCATGTGGAGGAAAGCCACCTCTGTCATGTGAAGCCTTTCCCACGACTGTTAGGTGAACAATAACCACAATTACGTGAAGCTACTGGATTTGGGGAGTGTGATACTGCAGCTCCACCTATGCCACCAGCTTCCAACAGCACCATGATAGTTTCTTAGCCAGGTATTATACCTACAGTCACAGGCTGAAGGCTGGATGAGCCATGGATTCCATTGTCAACCCTGAAATGGACTTTCTATAGATGTCACTGCCACAGGTAACATCATCTAGCAGAACTCCCTGCTCAATCGGGACAAAGTGGTCAGAATATACACAGTGCATATGGTTAAAGCTGCCCCTAAATGACTTGGGTCATTTTAATATGGGGCTTTGTGGCAAAGAAGATCATAAATCATCAGAAGCCAGAGGTAATTCATGGTTTTCAAAGCAAGGATGACATCCCTACTTAACACTCTCCCATAAATGCTTGGAGTCATTAATTATCCAATATATGGGCCAGTGCTGGGTTAATCATTTCAAAGAATTCTGGTTTTATTCACCCATGTGATACATGATTTTAGTGGGTCACAGAAGACCATTTCTGCCTGGGTGTAAATCATTTTCTAGAAGGCAGCAGCTCCCTGTTGAGCTGTCGCTGTCTTCTTACACTGTTTGCTTTTCTGCCTGTGGCCTACAGAACAGTTACCAATGGGGCAATGGGGCCATGTCATCACAAGGATTGAGCCAAACCTGTTTGGCACTCCCTTCTCCTTCCATTTAAATGTATCATGAAAATGTCCACATTCTAATAAAATGTTTTCAAACAGCTAAAGTTCACCATATCTTTATTCACATAAATTCAACTTAATTCTTTAGTGCTTTAGTACAAATGTTACTCTATGTAGGAGGCACCTGGGGACCTTGTTAAATGGAGATTCTGATTCAGCAGGCCTGGGGTGGGGTCCAAGATCCTAAATTTCTAATATGCTCCCAGAAGATGCCAACGCTGCTGGACCTCAAACCACACTTTGAGAAGCAAGGGTTCAGAGCAGTGGTTCTAAGTAGGATGAATTTGTCCCTCAGGGGATGCTTGATAACGTCTGAAGACAGTTTAGGTTGTCACAACTGAGGGGGTCCTACTGGCATCTAGTGGGTATAGGCCAGGGCTGCTGCTAACATCCTAGAATGCACAGGACAGCCACCCAATAGAAAGAATGATCCAGCCCAAAATGTCAATAATGCCAAGCTTGGGAAACATTGATTTAGAGCAAACTTTAAAACAGTAACTTAAGAAATTCAAGTATCTTTGCACAGTAATTCTTTCTATGCCATTTCCTAACTAGCTAACCTTAATCTTACAGATTGAGCCCAATAAAACCGCTGATCTTTGCCTTGACTTGTGAAACCCCAAATAGCTTTGCTCTTTCTTTCCCAAGCTTTTCCCAGATGAGCCATGCACATCCCACACCTTTGTTTTCCATTTCTCTACCTCTGCTCACATGCCTAATTTCTAAATTTCCCTCTAATGATATAAGGCAGAGATTTGGCTAGAATGGAGAAAAAGGAAAGTGGATGTCCATGTCTCTCCCTTCCTGGGGCTTCAATTCAGATTAGACACAGGCGGTATATGCCTCTACTCTTCAGAGGCCCTCTCCTCTCCTCTCTGACATTTCCAGTTGCAGCCGAGTCTAACATAACATATATCAATACTTGTTTAATCAGGACCAGAAGCAGTGATGGGGTCAGAACACTGCTGTATTTAGGACTGTTGAAATATGAGAGAATCCCAGAAACCTCAAACCATTCTTTTCTCCTTTTCTACAGGATTGCTCCAAGAGAGCTAATCACCAGGCTTTAAGAATTTCCCATTCTCCATTTCCACCAGTTGCTAATGGTAGTCAACAGAGACCATCAATTCCCATCTGAAATGCCAGGATCATGACAGCACAAGTAATTGGTCCAGAAAGGTCTATGACTGCAGGCCGGCAATGGGGTAGAGAAGTAGGGGAGGCCACATAGGCAGGGCCAGCCCAATTTGTCTTTATAGGACAGGCAAGGATGCATACAGAGAGCAGGCCCTGACCGAGTCCTGGGTCTTACCAGCACGGTGATCCCTTGTTCTTTGCACAGCATGGCCAGTGCTCCCAGGAGGATACTCAGCAACACCCAGAAGGTAGAATGTGTTCCCTCCTTGTTATCTGCCAATTAAGAGAAATGATAAACGTAAAAGTCATGCAACACAGCTCAGTCTTGCTAGCACCAGGAATACAATTCTAAGCCTGCAGCTTAAACAGCTACAATTTAAAAACAGTTTGGTTTTCTGACGGCATTTCGCTGTGGGTGAGTGTGTTACACCCCTGCATTTCTAGTTAGACAGCACCCTCTAAATGGCACACAGGTTCCCTCTCAAGGCATACCCTAGCAGGTGGCCAGTGCCTTTGGGAGGCATTGTAATGAAGCTCTGGCCACAAAGGTATCTCACCACAGAGTCCCCATGGGGCAAGTTCCTTCTTCCCAACCTGCCAATCACCTAATACGCCAGTCTGACAAGTGGTGATGAGAACTCCCACTGAGAGCATAAGCACTGCATCCGGTTGCACGCGATGACCCCAGCAGTTACTGCTGCTGTCACAACAGGGGCGATGGGAATGCCTGGGCTGCTCCGAGAATCTCCAGTCCTCCCGGGATAGGAGTCCAGAGCAGCTCTGCAAATCTCAACTACTCCTGGGACAGGAGCGCGGGTTCTCTCAACATCAGGTGGCGTCAAGACGGGTCTGCTCTGCTACCAGCATGGAATAGCTCTCATCTGTGAAGGACGCAGGACCACTGCCCGAGGCCTGGCACCCACCTAGCACCTGGGGCAGGTAAAGGCACAGGCCAGGCTGGGCTGCCAGTCCGCATGGGGACCCAAGCATCAACAGGAAGCCAAAGTATCATTAGAAATGTGAACACTGCAATAAGAAGCTCGGGTGGGGCTGAGCTCGAGTGATAACTGATGGGTCCTAAACTGCCTTCTGAGGAAGGGTCTGGCTACACACTGGTGGGTAGTATACGCTTCTGGGGGCCAGAGCTGAACTGCCTGGGAGGAGAGGAAGGGCCCCATGTGACGCTCCTCTCTGTTCGTCTTTTGTGAGGCCCTCACCTCCTCACCTAGATAGATGGTGAGTAAACATTTAAAACAGACACAGTTGAAGGGGGGCAAAGTGAACCTGCTTGGAGGACCAAATCTTCAGCTTGCCCAGGGTGCCTATGAATCCTGACACCTGTGAATCGATTCCCTTAAAACCGGAACTCCTAGTCTAAAGTCCCGCTCTGCTATTTGCTATGTGACCTTGAGCAAGTTATTCACGCCGTCTCGATGACCTCACCTATAAAAAAGGGCAACGTTATCTACTTATTCCCTGTTTGAGAAGGAAAAACTATATAGAAACATGTGGTCATTTGTGTTTAAAATTATATAAATATTTTGTAAATGCAAAACACATCTCTGGAAAATATACAAGAAACCATCTACAGTAGTTTCTGAACAGTTCTAAGAAGAAAAGCTCAAGCAGGGGAGGGGGCAAGTCTTATTTTTCATTGTATAAGCTGTCGTTCCTTCTAAATTTTCTTAACTATGTGTAAGGATTAAAAACCATATTAAAGGGACCAGCCCCGTGGCCAAGTGGTTAAGTTGGCGCGCTCCACTCTGGCAGCCCAGGGTTTCACTGGTTCGGATCCTGGGCATGGACCTAGCACCGCTCATCAAGCCATGCTGAGGAGGCGTCCCACATAGCAGAACTAGAAGGACCTGCAACTAGAATATACATCTATGTACTGGGGAACTTTGGAGGGAAGAAGGAAAAAAGATAAAGATTGGCAACAGATGTTGGCTCAGGGCCAATCTTTAGGGGAAAAAACCATATTAAAAACTAAACATTAAAAAAAATCACTTGGTACAGTGCTGGGACCACAGAAAGCATTCAATAAATGTTTGCTGCACATGAATGAGCAAAACTGCTCCAGGTTCCAGGGAGACGGATTTCCAATGGGGCTTTGATGCAGTAGTCATGGCGGTGGTTGATCAGTCCCCTTGTCGCAGAAATGGGCCAAGTTCATTACGTTGTGAAAAGACAGATCTTGGTTCTCATTAAATTGCTCGATCAGGAAACCAAGAATTCAGTGTTTGGGGAGAGAGGGAGAGAAGGAGGGAAGGAGCAGGAGAAGGAGACGGAGTGGTGGGATGGGGAGAGAAAGAGAAGGGGAGGATGGAGGGAGAGAGGAGGAAAGGGGTAAGGGGGATAGAGGGAGAGGGAAAGAGAAAGAGAGAGATTGAAACCAACAATTAAGTGTGTTTGGGGTGGGTGTGTGTGACATGTAGGTCCTGAATGACATGATATAAAAAGTCCTGTGAACACTCAAGAACTAATCAGCAAAGGCCAGGATGGAAGCCTAAAAGACCCCAGGCTTCCCGTCCTGGAACAGCCACGGGTCCAGGGCGGAGGCGCTCCTACCCTCGCACTTTCTATGTGAAGGTGGACACCCCTGTCAAGATGAGGGGGTCTGCACCCAGCTGAGCACCCCCCTCCCCGGCCCCGCTCTGATGTGACTGACACTGCACTGGCATTACCAGGCTGCCCGAGGGCCCAGTCAGCTCACGGGGAAAATGTCCTCATTCACAAGCAGGCTCCAGCAGCAGGAGAGATGCTTAAGTCAATCAGAAAGGACATACAGACTAACATTTTCCGACCTTTTTGGCTTTTCTTGGGAATCTCTGTATATCAAATTTCCAGGTTGAATGTACAAAGAGGCAGAACTGAAACAATACAGAAAAGGTGTATTTGGCTATTATAGCTGAGGTACTTCAAGGCTTTTCATGAGGCCAACTCATCAACAGTAAAGTCTCATTAATTTACATTCCATTATCTCATAAAACACAAGGAACACTCTTGTTTTAAGCTTTTCCAATCCTTCCTGTTGCCTACAGGATAAAGATGACCCTTGTGAAAATGGCATCGAGGACCTTGCTGATCTGGCGGCATCCTCCTGCCCCCAGCCTCTCTGGGTCTGCATTCCACGCATACTGGCCAACACGCTCACTATGCTTTGCATATTCCTTCTCTTAGGCTAGAATGCCCTCCGGCAAAATCATGCCCATCACATAAAGCTGTACAATATCACTTACGCTGCAACCCCACCCCTCCCCTCCCAGATAGACTCCTTTCTCAACTCGTTTTATTCCAGTCTGAACAGCAAACAGTCCTACTGTCTGCATGTCTTAAGAGCCTTGAGAGCAGCGCCTGTCTCACTCCCCTCAGTGCCCCTAACTGACCCCCTTGATCAAGTCAGCTGTAGCACCAAACTGCCCTTATCACAATATTCTCCAGTTTGTTGCAAGTACCCGATTTTCTGAATTCTCCCCTAGATGGGGGTGTCTCAGCCTTGGCACTACTGTTTGGGCTGGTGACTTCCTTGCTGGGGAGCTGCCCTGTGCATCGTAGGATGTTCAGCAGCCCAAGCTTCTCCCATCAGATGCCGGGAGTGCTCCCAGCACTCCAGTGAAAAACAAAAATGTTACAGACTTTGCCAAATGTCCGGGGAGTGGGGGGGAGAGAAATCACCCATAATTGAGCCCACTGCCCTAAACCAGCGCTATTCACAGTGTGTGGTCCATGGACCTGTCCTTAGATCCTGGAAACGCAGGCAGATCCCACCAAGACCCTCGGAATCAGAAACTTGAGGGTAGAGCCCAGCAATGCGCTACTCAACCAGGCCTCCGGGATATCCTGATGCTTGCTGAAGGTCGAGAGGCATCACCCTAGACAGGAAGCTTGCTCACTGCAGCACCCCTGGCACCTTGCCTGGCAATTCCAATTCTTACTGACAGAATCCACAGCACCTGATTGACTCTGCTAAGGCAACGGGTGTTCGGTGAACGAAATGACTATCCACGATCTACCAAAAGGGGCAATAAGCCGACCAATCACAGAACCACAAGGCAGTACAGCTGGAGTGCTTCTCTGAGGTTGTGTAGTGATGGAAATGCTGGAATCCTTTCTGGGACGTGTCCAGCGGGGCCCACATGGCCTTGACTTCAGCAATGGGTATTAACTTTCCACGACAGCCCGTTTCGGTTTTCAACTTTGGGTTGTTACAACGTTCTTCCTTAGAGCGAGCCCATGTCTGCCTCCCTAAACTGCAGGTCTTGGCTCTGCCTAGAGCAGCATCTCTGCAATTGTCCAGGCAGCAGTGCCTGGAAGTTCCGTTCCCTCTACTGAAAACCACTCTGCATCGCTACATTTATTCCATCAAGCAACGTAAGGACAATTTCACTTGTAGAAATTAATTACGTACATTATATGTATGTAATACCAAAAGATCACAGTTACGAGCCACGTCACCAACAACAACCCTGTTAAATTAAACATGACTGTATTTGAGTGTTTACAGCTTTACTGCAACTTCTTATTTTCTCTGGTATTTGCTAACAATCGTTAGCAGACAAGTGTGCTTAGACACCAAAGCTTTAAAAAAAAAATTACGGCCAAAATAACCCTAAAGCTAACGTATCAGTTAACTCCTTTCAGGATATGACTTTGAGAAAGGCCCCACAAGTTCCGAGGGCAGAGTACAGGGGTCCAGCTGCCAAAACAGGTGACCACAGCTCACAATGCACCAGCCAGAGCCCCGGAGAAAGCCACGCCTTCTGACAGGTGACGGAATGGATGGCAGACGAGACACCCTTAAGGCGTGTCCTCTCCATCTCCGTGTATGCACAGTTCCTTTACCTCTTCCTCCCGTAACACATCTTCCTGAGTCTGTCACTCCACTTTTAGCATTTTCTCATATTAGCAGTTTATATGTAAATAGGCACCTTTAATTATAAATGAACCCACATATTACCATTTGGTCTCCTCTACAGATAAACGGGGAAAAGACACCCATCCCTCAGCTCCTGTGGCCTCAGGGCCCCACTGCAGGCCTGGCACGAGGAGATGGTGCCATTGGCCCCCAGCCTCAGCCCGTTTTCATGTCCATTAAGCATTAGGTTCAGTAGTTCACTAGAAACCAAATGCACTTCTCACCTTATTACCTGGACTTGATTTGAGTAAGCTTCCCCTACTCCCACAATTTGTGCTCATACCTCTTACCGAAACATAATATGATTTCCCAGTGTAATGCTCCCTGTTCTTAACACCAAAAGCAGGTCCCTTGATCA